ACCATTCTATGATTCTATGAATGTATCTATATCCACATATATATATATGATAATTCTTAAAAAAAATTAATTTCAAAATGAAGCAATGAAAGTTGATCTTGTTGATGTTTATTTGGAGTCAGTAACTTCTCTGCTCTTAAATCCTCTTTATAAAACTACTGTAAGGTAAAATTCTGAAATAACGTACCTGTCAACAAGACACTTGTATCAGTGGTGTGTCCAGAATAGGAAGGGAAAGTGTGTTTGCTTCAGCTAATGGGCACAATCCTGGGAAAATTAAGAAATCACCAGATATAATAGACAGATAAACATAAGATTTTAAAATATAGGTGATCTTGAGATAAATCTTAATAGTTCTAGAAACTGGATAAGGACGATGTTCTTGGATTTGATAGCCCATTTGTCATTTTGTCCCGCTAATATATTACTCACTGTATGTATGAAACTACAGTTACTGTTAAAAGTACTTGAGTATTTTTTCCTAAAGATGCAGTTGTCTGGATCTGGATCTGAACTCCACGGTAGCTCTGCTTTTCATATTACATACAAGTGGAAATATAGCCAAATCTGAGGTACTGGATATGTACAGAAGACCTGCTTTTATTGATGAAAGCTGATATATCTGAGCTTCTTAATGTTAGACAAAATATAAACTACGAACATCTCTGTGGAATATTAGGCAAATAACTGTTTTCTCTCCCCTATTTTATAAGTTATAGATTATGAATTATGAAAAGTTAAAGTTAGTCTCTTTATTTCTCAAGAGCGTAATACTAAATGATTTAAAAACTTCAGCTTTGTCTGAGTTTAAAGGGCTACGTAGGCTCTTTTATTACCTCCTCTTGTTTTTATTTACACCATTAACCTTGTCTTCTGTTTCTTACCACTTGGCAGAAACCCTTCAAGTGTCATAAGTAGTTTTTCTTTAATGAAAAGAAAATTTTGATATGCTTTGTTTCTAGGAGTTACACTCTCTGCCTTTTATTTAGGCTTTGAGATGCGACTGGATGAAAGACAATACACTTGGAGTTCTGTTCTTTGGCTTGTGAATGCAGTTGGAATGAAGCAAACTGGCGACATCAATCTGACCCTCTTTTTCAGACCTATTGCTTACAAGCCTCAGACCTGCCATTTCAGTTGTCTTTCCCAGCAGTTTTTAATATATACAGTTTTTTTCCGTTTTGTTACTGTCTTCTAGTGGCTGGTAGACTGTATGCAGTGAATATGATGACAAATGAAAGCTGATAGCTCTCCATTTTCAGAGAGCATTTTTACTGTTAATGTAATACAAATTAAGTTATTTCTACATTGTTTTTTGGAATTACTCTGGAGATCATTTTTAATCTTCTTACTGTGTTCTGCAGCAGTCTTTCCTAACATAACAGGGCTTTAGATTTTGAATACCACCACTTTCTGCTACTGAAAATGGTTGCAAATATGCTTTTTCATACACTTTTATATACCATTCTTCTACAAAAATTTCTGAAAAAGCACCATAATTTATTTTTTCTTAGCAGCATTTCTGCATGGTGAAAAAATGGCCAAGAGCAAAACCATGTATATGTAAGTAGGAATGGAAGTAAGGATAGAAATGTTCTACTGGCCACTTCCTACAAATGAAAGACTTCTCCAGCATTAAGTATTAGCTTCTGTGTAAAAGTAATCAAAACTAGTTGTTTTGTTTGTTTCTTTGTTTGTTTTTTTCCCTAAATACCTTCTTTTACTTTTTATTTTGTTCTCTTAGGTAATTAATGCAAATATACAAAACAGAAGCCCTAAGCCAGGGCCCACTGCACATGAACAAGAACTTGGTTTTTTCTTGGAAACAGGACTTCAAAGAGCACATGTTTTATATTTCAAGAATGGGTAAGATTTTATTATCTTTTCCCCCC